ATGATTCACTGCTGATCAACAAAAGCGACACAATCAGTTACTTTACAACATTGTCCGTGCTTGAACTAAGGCGAGGCTCCTTTCCACCCTTTGAAGACGTCAACTTACGTGGACGTTTGATGAGCAGGCAGAAAGAAAATAAATGAAGGTCTGATTATATCTCTGGCCGGCTTGGGTTATCGCATAGGCAATTGAGGTAATACTAAAGGTAAAACCACCTTAAGGGGGAATTGGAGACACCAAGGTTCCTTTGGTTGCTTAATTCTAAAAACAACTCCGTGGCTGCTCGTACTTTTATCCTCAGACTGTTATATTTCGCCGACAGACAAAATCCTTGTAAAGTGTTGAATTCTCGCAAGGAACCGACAGTATACTTGATCCGCGAACGCTCACTTGAAGTGTTATCAAGGATGCCTTCTGATGAGAAGGTGATAAGAACTTAATGAAATTCTTTGTCAGAGATCTGTTGGAATGCGTCATTGACAACTTCTGTCTTGTTAGTTCTGAGATAAGAAACTGACTCGCGCAAACAAGGTCTATTGATTTAGCAGTATTTACTCTTTCATCAGTAAATACGGCATTTATTTCTAAGTGAAGATCAACTATTAGCAACAAGTTTTAGTTGTGATTAGTTGGCTCATGGTGTCCTCGTTGGTCGAAATGGCTGAATCGGAACAATCTCCATAGACTCAGTGTGGTCTTGAAAGGATGAAAAATGAGCCCAGGTTCCGACACAAAAGACGTGATAATTGTCTTGACACAAGATCTCTGACTGTTGCCAAAGAATTCGTGTGCTAATCACGACCTGGTCATTATTTTGACTACGCAAACCCAGTGTATCTCCGACACGTACCTCTTGAAATCAGTGCGTTAACAAGACAGGGGGCACAATAAGGGTCTAGGAATTTTTGGTAAGTTGTGTTAGGGAACTCTTTCCAATCCAGTTCCATTTTGCACAATTGTTATTTTTCTACTTCTTAACTATCCTAAACAAAGTTACTCTATAAACACGTTCATAGCAATCCCGATCGTATAAGCCGTTCGATGATCCCTCCATGCGCTCGACTCAGACGTATTTGAAGAATGAAACTAGCTCCAAAGATTTTTACCATTTTAACAAAGAGGTCAGATCCTTCGAATGTGACCTAGCATATTTAGGGTCTAATAACATAAAATAGGCCACGGCCAATTTTAAAGAAACCAAATTTTAATTCGGAACTATAATTCAGCCGTTGGTGACAATCAAATTACCTGACTGGCTTATTACTTACTCTAGGTCAATAATCTAACGACACAATTCTCCACGCAATCGATGATAAATAAATCATCGGAGCTAAGAAGCTGCCAAAAGTTTATTTTAATGCCTTGTTAGCATGCATAACTCGTTACATATGATATATGCCTTTCCTTGGTTTTAAAAACTGAAATATGTCGTCCTTTTGTGTAACGTGATACAAAGCCTCTAAACCAAGATTGGAAGATAAATGTTTACTTTTAGAGCCATGTGTCAGGTACTGCGAATTGTTTGATATCTCTGGTTCTTTTGAGATAAAATTCTTGCGGAACATTATCACCACTGATGCATATACAATTAGAAGACTACATTGGTTGATTAGCCAGAGCGTAGACAAACATAAACAAGTAATCTAAGCTTCTACTGTTTCTAACAAGACAAGACCATAGCGAATATTGAAATAATCTTTAGACAGCCATTATTAACTTGCGTAGTTTATCATCTTGTACCTTAGATATTTTCATTTAACTGTCGAAAGGTTTTTCCAAACTGTAAACCCATCCCCTCCACTGACGATCTTTATTAGGTTCTCAGTTTCGGTTATGAGCTGCTATCACCGTAACATATGTTTCAAGGCAATTTTTTAAACGCGCCCAATGGTTTTCGAGCACCCTAGGAGACTCAATTACCCTAGATGTATGGATATAGGAAATATTGCAAAGGTTTTTACGTAAAGTGTAGGAAGATTATTAATTTTTGGGCCTCTCCTTTTGAGAATTGAGCTCAAGAAAATGAACTTTACTCAAAGTAGAAAATTGAGTTTGTGAATAGTTACGAAGTAAATACTATCTTTTCATATCTTTGATCTGATGAATGACACACCTGCCGCCTGTCGACATATTTCTCATCATCACTTTGCATGTAGAAAGTAAATAATAATTATATACCAGTTAATAATTACAACATACTAAATTCTCAATACCTTCAATCTGCGATAACGTCAAATCTGATTAATCATGAATACTTTGAAGTTTCAAACTTTATGTGGTGGTTGAATGCTTCCTTCGCAAAGTAGACTAGTATTTAGAAAGTAGGTGTGGTGTTAGTCCACTACAGGTTACCTCGAAGCTTTTCGTCAGTTTCCCCTCACAATACCCTAAGGGAAGACGAGTATTTTGAGAGTAAACTACCCGGCGAAAAACGAAACAAAACAAAACAAACAAAAACACAACGAAATGACTCGGTCAGAGTTACAACCCGACCTTTCGATTAGAGTTCATCACTGAGGATGACCTCAACACCTAAACATAGTGAGGGGACCTCTCAAGTGGGAGTGAATTTCTGTCCAAAAGATGAAACTGCCAAGAACTATGAACGTACTCCTGAATAGCCATCGCCAGGAGCCCTTCATCTAAAATTAAAAACAAACTCCTGCTCTCATTTAACCTGTTTAATTGGTCACACATGTGTATTTCATCTACTGGACTTGAAAGTTAATTCAAAAATAAATACTCCTTTTACAATATTAATGAAGCTTAATTGGCTAATAAGATGGTCCAGAAGTAGACGAAGACAATCTTTTGTTTCCCCCGTCAAACTCTAATTGCAATGGGCGTCTCTACAAAAAACACAATTAAAACTCTCAGACAACTAGGCAACTATATTGCAGATCGTAGAAAAAAGATGCATCGAGAAATGAAGCAGTAGCGATAACTCAGTTATATAGCAGAGTAGATCAAAGAAAAAAAGAAATTTCAGGCTTGCGATAGACAAAATTGATGGCAAGTTTGAAGGTAGCTCGTTGTTAAAACGACTACAGTGAGCAGCGAACGAAACCGCCATCCTTTCTAACAAGGAAGGTGTTCACGCTGCTTGGATAAATGATGAAGACGTAGCCCTTACTTAGTGGAAAATGACATCAATTAGTTGTTTTTACTATAGGAATAATAGCGTCAATTTCAACTTGCCGTCGCAAGCTAAGGTTGCGTGTAATGAACAGTGCATCGATCAGCAAAACTTAAAGTTTAATCAATGCTCATATCGAAGGCTTAGATTTTAAAAAGGCGTATCTTTATTTAATTTTTTTTTAACCGGTAAAGTGAATTTAAATAAGTGTTCCCCCATTACTCTTACCACTGGCATGATGGGGAACATTGAAGACTTTCAGGTCATCATTGCGATCAATTTAGCAAAAATTTGATATCTTCAAGGATCTGGAATTAAGAAAAATACGTTTATTGGCACATCATGGAATGGTCAAATCAGTTTAATGGTCGCATAGCTGAACTTGGTGTTCGTTTACAACCATCTGTCCCGCTGTTAAATATCATCAAAGGTAATTTTCGGCCCAAAACCTTCCAGCTTAATAGGTTTGACTGTTCTTAAAAATGTTGTCACCAAGAACTTGAATTGAAAACATAAGCTGTTTAGGATGACAGTACTTTTCAACAGCGCTAATTTGAATTATGGCGCAATAAAAATTCATTGTGCTTACAGAGAGACAATCCTTTTTAGACTTTTTAAAATCGTATTAGTGCTCTAGATGTTATAATGAACAGATTGCGTTGGGGCAAAGGAAAGCGTTATCCATACAGTGGTCCAATATAGTACAAATAACACTTTAACAGCCGTGATGAAGTGGCTTTTTCTGTTGTTTATTACATAGAGCTTGAGAAGGTGGATGATCTTTCACGCGTCTTTGCGACCGCAAAGGAGTTCCAACGACGATGGAAATTTTTGCGGAAAATCAGTTTATTGTCGGCGGTATTTACAGGGTTGTGGAACATTTTGTAACTCACAAAAATTCACTGGCACAAATCAAAAAAATTCTCTCCCGTGCGGTATAAAAGTGATTTACTTCGTGTTGCTGAATATTCTGGGGTGGGGTTACCCGGGTTAGTGAGTGATTACCCATTTCGAGCCTGATTCATGATGGATCACTAAATGTTCTGCGATCTTCCACGATATGTTTGCAATATTACATACTTCATATCTTTTGGAGCTTCCGGAGAGGAAACGGCAGTTCAAACAAAGGCATATCAAATTTTATCTCAGGAAGCGCTTTCGTGACTTGTTTGACAAATATTACTTTTGAATAATGGCTTCAGAAGCACCAGCCTTCCAAAAAGTAACCAGACGAATATAACTTGTTTTCCTAGCAGCGCCATGTTGTCTTGTACTCTAACCTGTAATATAAATTACACATCAAATATTTATTTTTGTTTTTTATTGGAAAAAAGAGCGAAACTGAGCGGCAAATTGGAGCAAGTCTCAAATAGACTAGTGACTTTTTAACCGAACTACCAACCCTTTGAGCTCGGGAACATATGTGGTCGTTCTCTCAAAAATTGGATCATTGCTTTTGATAGTTGAATGGCAAATACAAATTTTGTGTTCTTGAATTGTTAAGTTTTAGGCCTCCTACTTTCGAAGCCGTTTTAACTTGATTGGCACCTCTTTACAGCGACTTTAGATGTCGAATGGCAGTAGGATAACATGAAGTATTTAATACTTACACGGTCCATTATGAGATTTAACCTCGTATGAATCTCATTATATTGATCTGCGACTGTTATCAAATTGTTTAAGAGTATCTGAAGTTCTTCTTCAACAGCCTACAAATAATTTCCGAATAAATCTCTACCGGTCTCATGTATGGCAATTAAAAGACTGCTAATAAGGTGCAAAGAGCTTGCTGAATTCACGCCTGGTTGATTTTCTTACAGACAAGAGGTGAATATGTATGAAGTTGATTTACTTACGTTCCAGTGCGTTCTGTATAACACTTTGCCATTGTCCCTCATTCTGTTTGTGCGGGCCAGCTTAATAATAGTTTTAGCAATAATTCAGTTGTCAAGCAAACTTTCTCAATTATTGTCAGTGTGTCAACGGAGTTTGAAGAGACGAAGAGACATTGTCAAACTTATCGTCTTATAAGTTTGTTCACCGGCAACGTCTCAACATATCTTGGCATGGGGTTACAGTGCTGGGATTTTTCATAAGTTTACATTGTGGAGCAAACAGCGTAGAAAGGACACTAACACGACATATTAATCATCTGCCCTCTTTATGAAACGAAGTCATAAACCGTGAAGAACAACATGTAAGTTTTGCATCTGAATCCAGTTTCGGGAAAGTCTGTCGAGTTCTTCTAATTATGAGTTTTGTGTTTGACAGAAACAATGTGGAATTCACTTCTGTGGACAACATTACTCGTGCTGATTACCCAGTGCTGTTCGCAGTCGTTTCAGGTAAGAATGAATCGATTTTTAAGCTGTTTAGTCCCTTTTTCTCCTAACAGAAAGAGGTAAAGTTACAGTTTGTTATTTAGTCCACGCGGCTGCCAAAAACCGTTAACCAGAGCGACTTATGATTATCTTATGTGTAATGATCGTGTGAGATGCACATGTTTCCTATACAAATTGTTCAGCAGTAGAATGGCTTCTTTCCCTTAAGTGTCTAAAATATATTTCTGGAGGAATATGTCACGAGAGTGGAAGACGCAGTCATGTATGAAAAGAAATAAATAACTATTGAGTTAATGCAATACTTTGCCCAAAGGTTTAATTTTTTTTTGAGGTCTCGCTGATAGTAGTCAAGAGCCTTATAAATTTATCTCCCCAAAAAGATAACATCTCTAGCATTCTCACAGTGAGCAATTTACAGCTCATTAAGTGTTAATGCGTGAGAACATGGAACGTTCTCTAGATGTAAATAAGATATGATAACTTGCCGTTTAAATCGGATATTATTTTCAGTTAGTGTTTAATATTGGTCTACGACGACGGAACAATTGTAAGGACCTAACAAGGACGGAATTGAGGCGATCGAATAAATAGTTTAAACGGCATTAGAACTGTCGTGAATTCACCCTGCTTAATGAGATAGATATACAATTCTGCCTTAATCGAATTCATTGGCCTAACCACAAATAACTACAATTGACAGAATCGGTGGGAAGTAGATAAATGTGATGCTAATTTCAACCCAATATGGCCCAATGAGAAGGAAACAGAAATGTCAAAGCTGATCATTTCGATGATGAATAAGTCTAAATCTTCAAAGAGTAATTTCAAAGCAGCCCTTGAGAGCTTCTTAAAGTTTTTTCCTATTTAATCTGCGCTTTACTTTGTAATAATGAATAACAGAAATTTCCAGAGTCAAACCGCAAGTTCAAGATCTAGACTCATAAATTGGCCTCAAACGTTGAACGTGTAAAAGAAAAAAACATTCAAAGACTTCACCAATAGGTATCAGTTTAATAATATATATATATATATAGATATATGTATATTGATTTGGCCACGTCGATACTTATATACTCATAGTATAAAACAAAACTTCTGACCAGGGTTGCGAGTGACACTTCAACTGGAATCAAACTATCATTTACGCAAAACGTCTCGCTGCATCACGTTATCTCCTAAGCAGTTCTTCCCTTCTATAACTTCAAATAGTCAATGAACTTATCAGTGTCTAAAGTGCAGGTTTCTGTCACCTGGGATGTCGTTTCAACGACTATTAGAATTTTTAAGTAATCCACATGGGAATGAGCTATGATGTTGTGGCTAACAACGAAGGTTATGATTGACAAGTTCCAAATTCTCACCAAACCACCATAAGCCACAGTATTCGGTTTTAGATCGATAAAGAGTTGTGTGTATAAAATTGTGGACTGAAGCATTAGAAGATGTCCAATGAGAACAAAACGCCGGACCATTACTCTGCAAATGTTCGTTTTTTGAAGGGACAATCATTTTAGAAAACATAGCTTGCACATCACTAGAACCCATGCGTCAATTGTATGATAGGAATTCATCGCTTCAAGGATTGCTGCCCAAACACCCCATTAGTAGAGAAAAAGGCGACGACACGTTTTGACTTGTGCTGGTCTCAAGCATTTTAAACAGCATCATTGAACCGAAACATCAGTGTCTGTTAAGTTCTATTTTTCTGCCTTGAAATATATATTATAGAAAAGGGTACGAGAGATAAGGATTTATGGAAGCATTATGTAACGTCTTGAAGTCTTAAACCCAGTTACCAACTGGATTCAAATTTGGGCATAGAATTGTGGTAAATTATTTCTTTGTTGTTTTTCTAAAATCGGAAGCGTAAGCCACCCATTGTTTGAGGTATTTTTAGCCGGATAATTATCGTCAATAAAACTATCTCAGTAAAACACTTTGTTATGCAAGGCTTTTGTGTACCTTCTATGGAATTCATTGGTGACTTCGGCTTGAAAGAAATTTTATTACGTTCACAAGATGAATGAAGCCCAAACATCCTTACATAAAATCACGGTTGTCAGCATTGCGACTCCTCTTTATCAACAACTCAACATAACTTTGTTTTCTAGACAAATACCTAAGATGTTCACCGCTTCATCCCCGTCCTCCGACTGATAATATATTTTCGTGATAACTGACAATAAATTAAGGTCTTTTCGTTAAGTTATTCGAAGTATTTCGGGTTATTATTGTTTGATATTCGGTAGGTTTTGACATGTGCATATACCTTTCTGTTCAATTTTTCTCTGATGTAGTTAGAAAGTATTCCGTGTTATATTGTTGACCATTAATTAATTCCTAGTGGTCTGCTTACCGGAGAGATAAGTGGGGTCCCTGGAGTGACTGGTCTCCTTGTACTCGTTCATGTGGCGGAGGCACTACATTCAGGACAAGGAAATGTTTAGCCACCTCCAGGTTTGTACTGTTTTTTTTCTTTTTCTTTTCTGGAAAAGGAGCTATTTTCAGCACCTCTGCCCTTGACACTCGACAACAACAAAATCTAAATAAGGATGTAGTCGCCCATATTTTCATGGAAAAAAAACTCCAAATGGGTAATTTTATCGAAAAGTACCAGCAGCTTATAGATTAGTTCATCCTCCCTATATTAATAAAATTGATTATTTATGTAAGACTGGAAGGGTTTTCCGAAACAAAACGGAAAGGTTATGGAACAGAAATAAGCCACGTGAACATGTATTTGCCATTTCTGTGCTCTTAAACTGTGGGATTTTTTTCTCTCAACTGCTCCGTGAGCGCAGAAGAAAACTAAACGTCCAATTGGCATTTGAACAAGAGAGGGTTGGGTGAAGACCATGACAAATTTCGTCTCGTCCCCATTGCTTATCGTCTCAATCTCTAGCCACCTAAAGGACTTGTTCCTAATCGATAAAAATCAGACTGCCAGCGATTTGATGGGGACAAAGCTCTACTGAAAGCCTCAAGCGTCAAATAGTCATGTTATGAAGGAGAAATGCTCCGATGAGTCATATAAATTAAATGAACCATAATTGATAGAGATCACGGGTGGCTTATAGGAAAAGCACACGTGAAGCACGATTATCTCGACACCAGCCTGTGTGAAATATACAGATTACGTGAAACCTATGTGTGAGGTCAGCTTTATTTTTTTTTCCTAAACTCTGAAATACTGAAGTTGAGCAGCGTGCATCTTACAGGATGAGCAGCTTTTTAAGTTCTCCAAGTTGTGAGCTCTTCTGTTTCTCAAGTTCATTCGGATTATAGCTCAAAGCATTGCTCAAAAAAATGTGTAAATTCTCTTGAATTCTTGGTTGAAAAGCTTCTTCGATAAATGTAAAGACGAAAAAAAAAATTTCATATCATTAGCTGTTTCTCTCGGCTTCCAGAAGTGGCAGTCTTCCTAAATATATACTGAGGGTGTACAAGCAGTATGGCGAAAACAGAGGAAGATGTCTGGGAAAAGATATTCAGTACAACACTTGTAATATGCAGGTATGTTTCCCTTGCTTGCTATGATGATAACTTATCTTTGAATAGGGATTACTTTATCTCTGGGATCAGTTGGCGGTCAGGTAACAAAGTTGCGTCAGCAGACATTTGAATCGATTATTAATCAATTACTAGTCAGCAGTTAGATATGCTCTGGAAATTAACTCTTTCAATTGCATTGTAAAATAAGAAGAAATGTGTGGCTCCCATGAGAACGGTTTTAGACTGCGCCCTTTCTATTTCTTTGTTACTGGATACAACCAGGCTGTGATCTCAACGCAGTTATATGGCCCCCATGTAAATTCTCTGGAACCACAACCTGCTCCACGACTCAAAACCTTGTTTACCATACTCGAGAAACGTAGATTAAAGGAATGGGCTCGAGAGCAAGTCAGTTTTGGTAGCTACGACTGGTAAGAATATAGTGGAGACTTCAGTGATGTGGCTTCTTATTCTTCATTTTTGTCCGTCGATAAAGTTCTCAAGCAATAAATTATTATAAAAAGTTAAAAGAAAGTAAATCCAGGAACATAGTTGGGCGGTCAACAACACTGTGGAGGGCTTAAAGCTTACAAAGAAGCTTTTGTGATCATTCATTTTTTATTCACTACGTATAAATACCCTCAGAAAAAGGATACAAATCACAAACAACCTTACACTGAATGTTGTATTTTAGACCAATGATAAAGTATGATTAGTCTCCACACAATCTAATTTGCCATCAGTTTAACTTTGCAGCCACAGGCAATAAGGTGGATCCTTAAATGGAATTCGATGCATACAGGCAGGACTAAGCTACAGCCATTTAACAGCCAATTATCTTAATATGAAACTACCATAATGCTATCATGGTTTTTATCATCAACAAGACCCTTCTTGAACAGATAATAAAAGCTTGACTTTCAGCTCTGAGTGATATGACTAACATACAAGCGTCAAAAGTCAATTTTACGATGAAAATAAACCTATCGGAAACCAATTAAAAGTTGAAATAAACAAAATTTTGTCGAAGTCTAGTATCCATGTACATTGAAAAACTGATTTCTTCCCTTATTTATCGAGTTCACCTTTGTAATCTCTGGGAATCATCTTTGATACACACACACACAAATGGAATTTGTAATCCTGTTTATTTGGATGGGTTAGACCAATTATCGGTCGCATCTTTTATGTGCGGTTCGCGAATGTTCTAACTAGCTGACAGCTCTCTTGATAAACACCCTTGTACTGCGAACATGACCCTGGAGAGCACTGTGAGTTATTCAATGAATATAATCATTATTCACCAGTGTTAAAGGTTTATTCAGTCAAGCGTGCGGCGCTCAGTAAAAGCAATGCGGCGGCAATCATAGCAATGGATTCTTTAGACGCGAGGATATTGATGATCATTTTGTTTAGTATAGCTGGGTACAGTGCACAGGACATTCGCGAAACATCGCAGTTACGATGGAATTTAAGAAATCTAATAGAAGCAAAGCTGGATCAAAATGGTGACAGCGATGTACATTCTAGCCTGGTTAGGTACTACGTCAAGACATTGCGAGAGTTGAATTTTGTTAAGTTCAGGAAGAACATTTACACCAAGAATACAACTAATCACCGCCTCACCCCTCCTCAGTGTTCTAACGTAGGTATTTGTTGGAGGTAGTGTCTTTCAACTTATAAAAATTTCACACATGCAGAGCCTAACGACAAAGCATTTGTCGACTTTAACAAAACAGCTAAAGGTTAAGTGGTAAACGACTTAGCAAATGTAAACATATATATTCGGAGTGGTCTTAATTCGTTTTTGCGGCACTTAAAAGACCACTAAATTGCTTTATCTCTAAAGTCTCATCCATACCAATTCTGAAAATATGAACAGAGTTTTCACTAAAACGTTTTTTTTTCAATAATAAGCATGGTTAACTTATGAACTGTAGACAGTTTTCTAGGTCTCTTCTAGTTTTAACTGTCGGGGACGAAAATCTTGATCAGCATCAGTAACTTGTTTTCATCTTAAAAACTACCAACCTACGCACAGAGAATTTTTCTTCTCCTAGTCTCAGCGAAATCGACACATGATTTATCTTCTTCAAGGCTGCTATGTATCTAGTTTCGTCTGTTCAAAGTGTTTATTGATTAAAAGTTCTCTAAAAATAATCACATCAGTATTATCTCTAGAAGGAATGATCACAGATATGTTTGATGTCTGAATTTAGTTTCTGATGAATCAAAATCAAATAATCTACAACAAGATAACTTAAAAAGCATACATGAAATCACTCAGTATAAGTTATATTGATAAAGCGTTATGCAGAGGTTAAACCGCGGTCAATGACCTACTCATGTACGTAAAGCACTCTTTGTTTCAGCTTATTACGATGTGGAGTAAATGTGACTGAACTGATATACTTGTAGCCTATCTTTTTAAGCGGAAAGCTTCGCTTACGTTTTGACTATCCTTTTTTTTGTGCTTCATCCATCTAACTTACGAGATGCAAATTGTGTTCAACTTTCTTCGTTCCCAGACTCCATAAAAACACCTCTATATAAACAATACAACTTTAGCGAATCATTTGCGTCTGGAACTGCTTTTTCAATCATGTGTTTAATTTTTGGAGGCCTTTGAGTAGTTGAGAGCGGCCACTGCCGGGGAAAGCTAATCAGCACAAGTTGTAGCAGATCCTGGCCTTAGTTGTCCATTTGGAGTTATTCTTTGGAAGTGAACATTAAAAACCGAAATTTAAGGGCAGCTTTGCTCAGTATCATGTCTGAAATTCATTCGATATATTTTTTGAATGCTTGCAGGTGTGTTTCCAGGCTCCTGTGGTGACGCGGCAAAGAGCTATCGATGCTCGAGCCGCACAATGCAGAAAGTTTGATAATAATTCCTTCAACGGTTACTTCTTTACTTGGGTCCCATACCTCAAAGGTGAGAGGGCTAAAGTTAAAGTTAACGTTGCCGGAGGGATGCAGCTAAGAACTTTTCACCATAAAAACTACGCAGTTTTGCTCAAAGAAGTTAATGCCGTTATCGAAGAGATGAGCTTCAATGTTTTTGCCCTCTTAGAAATTAACCATACTTGAATTTTTCGTTAGGTACAACATTCTAACACACATTTGTATTAATTATAGTGAAGGATCGTGATGAATGTGAGCTTAACTGTTTGGCTAAAGGACACAAGTTTTTCCTTCGTCTTTCGCCTAAAGTCGAAGACGGAACCTCTTGCCTCAGCGATCTGGAGAAAGTCTGCATTGATGGAAAATGCAAGGTGCGTTGAACACACGTTCATCATTTTACTAGTGCCTATAACTTCCTAGCGACGCGTATCGGTTGGGGCCCTTCACCAAACGCAGATCCTGAAAGGAAAGAGATAGTCAAACGTTCATTTTTGTGGTGTTATTTTGTATTCCAGGATCTACCTTCAGAATGCAAAGAAGGTGGATGCTTTAGCACGAAGCCATCTGAAGCACGAAAGGAAAGACGGTCCGGAATTTTCACATCCGGAGATGTATCTCGAGGGCAACTCAGTAAGTTTGTTCATGAAGTATTTCTTCTCCTCCTTTACTGTTCTGAAATTTCACGAACAGATATTTGTAGTACCATTGAATATCAAAGCCAATCGCCAAAAGAGTAAAAGTTCAGTGCGGGTTCAGCATATGGGTCCATAGGGTATATAATTCATGGCTGAATGCCATATTCGAACGGTTTGGTTGCTTTTCTGAAATCTGAAACTGCAGCACAATGCAGAATTTTTAAGAATTATTTTGTCATGGTGAAGCTTCAAAATCTCATGGTTTCGGAAGAACACCTCTCCTTTAAAAGCTTGGCGTTACTATTACTCTTGGTTCCAATATTTTTTTCGTTGCTGGTCACTTTCATAGATTTCATTTCACTTTAGAAAATAATTCAAATAGTACGCGCGCTCTGATTGGCCGTAAAACCATTGTACATGAGCGTATGTAAACACAGTTTTCGTACCTTTTTCATTAGTTATTTTATAAAAGATATACATGGTTTCCTACGCTTATCTCGTGTTCTCCCAACCTCCCGCGTGTTTGCATCAGGCTATGTAAACACGGAAACCATTTTACATTTCTTCAATATCTGGGGCAAGAAAAAGTCTGTGTGTTCCTATTCAGTTCTAGGTTACAATCCGGTCATTACAATCCCAGCTGGTGCTACTAATGTAAATATCACCGAAATCCGCAGAAGCAAAAATTATCTGGGTGAGTTGCTGGCATACTAATCCATTGTTGAACTTAATTATCCAATCAATCATGAAACTACAAGGTCTCCAAACGAGTCCAGACTGAGTGATGCTTTAAAGTTTGTATATCTTTACCAAGCTGATGAAGAGAAAATTTCGAAAGCAGGCTATTTAGAAGGTAGACATTTCGATTTTATCCATCTGAACGCTGAAGATTAATTTTCGGAATAGTAGGTTTTCATGAGAGGTACAGATTTTGCGAATATCTGAATTAAACAATTTTTGGTTGAATCTTAAAACCTCTTGCGCTAGCATTGTTTTTCCCTCCAAAAATTAGCAACACCTATTGGAAATAAGTTGGAATTACATGTTTTGCCTGTTTTCTGTAAGCAGACCTCTCTACGTGATAAAACTGAAGAAGTAGATTAAGACATATATATTTTTTCGATTGTTTTCAGCTCTCAAGTCGCACGATTCGAACAAGTATTACATCAATGGAAACTGGGTCATTGATTTGCCGAAAGGTTATGACGTGGCGGGTACAACCTTTTATTACACCAGGCCTCGCAGAAACAAAGCAGGCCACGAGGCTTTCATTGCTACTGGTCCAACTGATGAAGATCTTGACGTTATGGTAAGAAGATAAAAATTACCAAAAGTTAATTGACAACGCTGCATCTTTTCATACCTGGAGACAAACTCAAAACAAAGTGCTGAACACTTTTGTATAATTACACGGGAATGGTCACTTTCTCCAAAAACGGTTTAGCATATCCTTAGCCCAAGAAAAATCCCTATTAAAGTGTGCCGTTTACATAGCAAATTGTATTTGTATGCTTAAGCAACTGGTCTCTAGATACTGGCAAACATTATTAATGCATGGGATACCTCTTGTTGGTCGTCTACACCTTGCAAAAGTTTGCAGCAACCTGTACCAGAGGGTTACACTTCTCCCGGCTGCGATTACATGAAGAACTGAAGACCAGATATTACTTTGTGATAATCGTAAGAGGTTTTTGATACCAGGAGCAGAGTTCGTCTGCTGACTTTAAGTTAGTTCACCTGAACTTATCTTTTTTCAAATGTCATCAAGTGAGTGTAAAAAAATAATGTTTACGGCAATGGTAACGTTAGTCAAAATAAAGCTGTCGTGTTCACTGTAGAAACGAATACTTTCACAGTTTTATAAAATAGAGAAAGCTAATCTTTGCCGTTTCCGTAAGCGTCAACTGCACTGGTAATTTGTCCGGTGTTGGAATTCCGTTTCAAGTTCACCGTAGAAAAAAACAAATGCGAATTGTCAATATTTTATTTTTATGCTTTTTTCACCAGCTGCTTTATCAAGACGACGAGCCAAGGATCATGTACTCGTACTTTCTTCCCAAAGATTATCTTAATAAAAATCAGGCACAGCAACCTGCTGAACCAGCTGGCTTCGGACAGAGAGGTGTTCAAGTACAGCCTACCCAATCAGTAACTAATGGAAACTTGTACGTTTGGAAACTAACAGGGTTTACACAGTGTACCCACTCGTGTGCTGGAGGTACATAAATGTGCTATAGAAGCCCCAAATAGAGACAATAATCTGAGACCAGTTAACAAAGTTTCAAAAGCGATGTGTTTGAGAACTACTCAGTTTTGCATCAGAAGCGCTGTGAAATTTGGATTGGTATATCAAATATTCTCAATAATAGAGTAGACTTTCAAATTCTTTAGTCCTCATTGCAGTCAGGTGACAATCCCGTTTTCCATCAACTTGACAACTTAACAAATATTGAAGGTATCGGCATTTACACTGACACTTTTTGCAGGCCTCCAAGAGACGGTGTATCAATGTTCCTCATTAACTGATAACTCAGCTGTTGAACAGTCAGCATGTCAGTGGAACCAAAAACCACAGCAAAGACAAAGAATTTGTAACCTGCAACCTTGCCCTCCAAGGTAACCCAGTTAAACTATGCATTTACTCCTCACAGAAATTCCGTTTGTCAGTTAGTTGTCTGAAAGTAATGGCGTAGAAGCGACAAGTCGCACCATTTGTTATTTCCCTTGGGAAGTTCAAGTTATCAGGTGTCAACTTATTTACACAGATGTAAGCCGTTTCTGTAAGACGGAATTATTTGAATAAAACTTTGCATCTACGTTTGGGCAAACAAGATATAGCTGGTGGAGAATCAAGTCAATCGTGATAGAGTCATGAGGCAGAGTGTATACATTTTTGGAAGATTTCAACTACACACAGTACGCCAAGTTAGTTTTATTTCACTTTGAAATAGGGGTTTCTTTCTAGTAGAGGGATGTCTAACGTTTTACTTAAGCAAAGTAATGTTCAAGTCACCTCCCAGTCATTCAAATCTCAGATTTTCCGCAATGCAGAGAGGACATATAGTATCATCAATTCAAATGTTATTTTGTCCACGTGCTGTTCGATTTAGCTAAGTGTTCTTTAATGCAGATGGGAGCCGAGTCAATGGGGTTTGTGCTCCAAGACATGTGGGCCTGGCTTGCAGATCAGAAGTCTATTGTGTAAACAGTTGGTAGATAGTAACGGTGCGCGGAAGGACCAGATGTTACCCATAAGTTACTGTCCCCAGTGGCAGAGGCCCAACCCGAGCCAGAAATGTAATTTGAGGCCTTGCCCTCTTCCAGCAAACTGGACTGTTGGAGAGTGGAGCAAGGTAATAGATTAACCGAAGACATTAATGCAAATAGAAACCATATGTAACGAGTCTGCCACAAGCGCAGTTCGCATGCAAACTCGCGTCGACATACACAATGCAAGTATAGCCTGTTCTAGGCGTTCAGATAGCAAAACAGAGCGCGATAATAAACGGCCCAGTAATAACGGCTGAGGGAAGTAATTAAATTGTCGTTTGTTTCCACACTTCAGTGTTCTGTTACATGTGAAAGAGGACTCAAACAGAGGATTGTTACATGCACAGACATCAAGAATACGTCTGTCAATGAGAGCTTTTGTGGACATCGCTCAAAGCCAGCCATAACGAAGTCGTGCTTCGCGGGTTCTTGCAAAACTGAATGGTTTACAAGCCACAAGTGGTCACAGGTGGGTTCCTTTACCTATACGCTCTCACTTGGTTAGTGTTCCATAGGCTGATAATCTTCTCCACACTTTCAAACTGTCGTTCAACTGCAATACATTTCTTATCATTCTGACTTTGTAAAGCTTTCAATTTCTCTAAAAATTGTCCGAGAAGGTAGTCATAAATGTATATCCTCCGAGTAATGTACTTGGGGATTTGCTTATTTTGTTCGCTCTGGGCTCCCATTCCATCATATGTCCATACTTCGTACTGTCAGTTTCCTCTCTTCCTACTTTAAATTTTTTTTTTGTAAAGTTCCTTAAGACAACTTTTCCCATCACTGTCATTTGTTGACCTCTAACTTACTTTCATCGGACCTTTGTTTCCATTTGTTCTTCTTTTTCTACCCTACTCAATCCGCTTTTTCCCTTTTAAAGTGCTCAGTGCCTTGTGGTAGAGGAGAGAAAAGTCGACTTGTATTCTGTGGGAGAAAAGGAGGTGACGCCCTCCTGTCCGGTCAGTGCCCTCAGGCTCAAAAACCAAGCTCGAGCAGAGCTTGTAACAATGGGAAATGTCAGGCAACCTGGGTTACATCAGAGTGGAGCAAGGTAAAATGGCCGTTGGGTGGCTTCGGCTCTCCACACAAAGGAATCCATCGTACATAACCGGGAGAACCTGATGAAAACTAGGAGCTGGGAATTTGTTATTGGTGTATTTATAAAACGTAAAACATAAACACCGTAGGCCATTCGTTTTCCTTGAAACACGAGTAGTTGGTTGTTACTTCTGTGACACACACAAGCTTGAGCCTCTTTATGGGTATTTCCGAAGAAATCGAAGACGTGAAGATCACCGCGGAAAAAACGAAGATCTCAAGATTGAAGCGAAGATCTGAAAATTGACCAAAATTTACGTGATCAAATTGAACACTCAGAAATAAAACTGTCAAAACTCGCAAACACTACAGAAAATATCTGTTAGTTCTGAATTTTGGCATTTGACCACATTTCACTGCGATTTTGACAAAGGTGTCAACAGTGGTTTACAGTCGCTGCCGCGAAACCACATGATGCCATTACAAGGTTGAAAACGACAAAAATAGTCCACTGATAATGTAATCAATAATGACATTAACGACGTCAATGAGAACCCACTAACCAATGGACTCGATTTCATTCGTATCATGAAAATAATAAAAAAATAAAAATAAAAACAAAGCAAAAAAAAAACAAAAAAAAACAAAAAAAAGGAAGATCTTCCTAAAAAAAAAGAAGATTTGCAAAAAAATCACGAAGAAAACGAAGACCGTGGGTACCCATAGAGGGGCTAAAGCTTCGGTGATGAGATCTCTCAAGCTTGAAAAAGGAAAGTGAATGGGCATGCAAGTAAGTTAGCTGATCTGTGCCAGTGGTCAAATTGGTCAGTAGTACATTTACAAACTGATAAAAGTTCTGGTCCTGGTCACCTTTATCCATAGAGAACTTTGAAAAAGAGAAACATTTCTATTTAATTACCCATATTTTAATTCAGTTGTCCTTTATGAAAAGATAACACATCCAAAACACACACACCTTTGATACTGTGTTACATTACGTCTTATAGTGCTCAGTTGAATGTGGAACCGGGACCCAATCACGCGTTGTCTTCTGTGCTGGTATGGTTGGAGATATGCATAGACAGTTTCCAGACCACGCTTGTCTTCTAAACCCCAAACCAGCAACACTTCAATCATGTGGAAACGACTCATGTGCTCCAGAATGGTACACTTCAAAATGGGGCAAGGTACACCGGAATTACTCTTTTTTTACCCGACATTGACAGTCTTTCAATTTGCAATAGTTTTGTCTGCGTTTGAATCGAGGATAAAGATACAGGAATTACAGAGGCGGAAGACATAATTTTCTGCAAAATCTCAGAAACTATCATATCATTCACCCAACCAAGAGAAACACGTGCCTTTGTTGTTCCTTTAAAAAAGTTTGGAAAACGGAGACTGACTCGGACACTACACGCCTGCTCCTGCAGAAGTTTAATTATTTTCCCTCACTATGATGCCAACTGTTTCATTTCCCTGTTCATTTTTGCAGTGCTCCAGGTCATGTGGTGGAGGTAACCAAGTCAGAGATGTTATGTGTCTTGATCACAAAGGTCAAACATCTAAAGAATGCCAATCACGGCACAAGCCTTATCATTATCAGCGCTGTAATAACTTCGCATGTCCTACATCAGCTTCACAAGCGAGACGAAAACCACACTGTAAAGACTCTTACAGCGGAACTGTGTGCATGTATGTTACACAAGCCAACTTCTGCCAGTTTTCACATTACCGCAGGATGTGTTGTAACAGTTGTGCAAAAAGGCACTAACTTCGCGCAAACACATCCCTATTTCACGTGATTGGTGAATGAGACGTCAGCCAAATGACTTTGGGAGAAGATCAATGAAATTACATAGGATATAAATGAGAAAAAGAAGGAAATAATCGCTGAAATCATTGTAACTTTGTTCATTATATACCCAATAACATAGTCTACAATACTGCTGCGCGTTTAGACCAATCACTGGATACAGTCCAACGCATCAGGTAGTCACAAAGCTACGTGGAAAAGACAGATTTGCTCCTGGGCGCATATCACTACAGGAAAAAGAAGTTCAGGAAAATATTTATCATAAGTACAAAAGGGTCTAGTCTGAGATAGTTTTATTACACAGCTCTAAAGCTCTATGGAGATACTTTACACAAAACTCCCTAAAAGGTTTGTGTATCCTCAGCCAAAAAACTTGGCAGTGAAGAGATCCATGCCATAGAGCAAAAGCACAGTAATTGTATCTGCTTCACAATAAAAGTCAATGTCCTGCCTACGTAATTCAGAGACTGGTTCTGTTTTATGGTACAATTGACAGTGTGAAGGCACAAATTTTTTTATGGTATCTTCTCTCTACCACTGGTAACCAGAGCTGATTAAAGCCTATAAACTGAAGCAGATTTCTTTAATTACACTAAACCCAAACCAAACTGTCTTCAATCGTTTCCTTACTACAAACAGGACAGAGCTGAAAACTGGTTACCAATATATGAATATATCTGCATATCACTGAGTACAGTACCCTTTGTGATTAACTCCGAAAAGTAAAACAGAAAATGCCGATGAGACAAAAAGTTTTTTTTAAACTTTTCATTTTGCAGACTGGATTTCCACTAAAACATTGCTTATCATACCTAGTAAATACTTTTCTTAATAACAACTCACTTTGTGCTCAGGCTATTTAAGTGGTGCAGAGTACATAAAAAGAGTACAAAGCAAAGTAATGTATGACGCAAAAATTTTTATTAAATTGAAGCTACACATAAATGATGACTAGTTGTGTGCAGGTCATATTTTCTCTTGATTTACAGTTTACAATTGTCATACTTTGAAAAATAAAAGATTTTAACCAAATAAAGAGGATGGTGTACACTGCATTGGTGTGTAAGGAAAAAATTTTCATGTAAATTTTTTTCTTTGTAAAACAAGGTTTTTTTACTCCAACAAATGACTGTCCCACAACATAGGGTTTTATCAAAAGTCTTCATGATCCTTGCTTCACATAGTTGTCCCATGTGGTCAGGCAACAAGTTTGTGTACAATTTAGGTGCAACTGGATAGTGTAAGACTCTAGTCAGACTTAACATGGCCATCAGCAGTCACTTCTTTGGCAGGTAAATCATCAACTTTTAGATCACCATTGGGAAGCAAGCCCTGCATAAAATGAAATGTCTTTCAAATCAAAACAAAGGTGACAGTTTATTTAACATTTGAAGACTAAGCAACCACCTACACTATAATTATCCTACTGACATTAAGGTGGCTTTTGGTAAATGTTTTTTCTACAACAAATTTAGTGAATCCCATTCTTGTATTTTGACAAAAGAAAACTGGGAGAGACAGAGCAGATTGAAATTATTGTTGGATGCTTGGTGAACCTCCTTGAGAAAGGCACATTTAATGTTGTCTTGCTTCTTTAAAGCCATCATGCAAAAGACAACTCACCTATGGAATATCATTTCCCAATATTTAAAAAGAACTTTTTTTCCAAGACAAATATTCAAAACAAGGTTCCTATCAGTGCATGGGACCTGGATACTAATACCATGACACAGGAGAGTCATTGCACTCTTTCAAACAAGAAATGTAACATTTAACTTTACTACCTTCCCTTTTCTCTACTGGTGCTTTTTTGAAACCTCCAATTCAAATTGGTCTTATACATGTGTCAGTGTTATGTTCCATAAAATATCATTGTTGCTATTTATAGTAGAAAAACACCACACAGTCTTTTTCATATAATGCCACTCATAGAAGAAATTCTCCAGCTTCTTGTGGGGTTCATTGCTGGATAAACCAGGGGGTAATGTTGGGGAGAACATGGGATTTATACTGATTCCTGTACTCTGGGATGAGAAATTTAAAGAAATTAATTGAAGAATAGTCCATCAAATTTCAAGAGAATATGAATAAGTGGGACTATTCCTCAGGGAATTAAAAACTATGTGAGGTATAACAAAAAATACTACAGGGAGCAATATCTGTGTTACATCGGATAGCATTGATTATTTTCCCTTGACCTTAAGGCGTTTCTGAGTTAGGCCTTACGGAATCAGAGAGGAAAAATGACATCCTCTGTGCAAAATCAGGATAATTTGCAATTAGCCTTGTCTAATACCAAATGATTCGCGTAATTTGACGAAAACAATTGAACATAAAGCATCCATAGTAATTAAGAAGTCCAGTATAAATGATAGAGATCAACCGCGTGAACGATCATATGTGACATGTCTCGTGAGAAAAGCTATTCGAGTAGGTTTACTTGATAAGTTAAGATGAGTACAGGTAATCTTAATAAAAGCTATCAATAAAATGGGAGGTAGATCATAGTTCACGGGTTGAGTAAGACAATTTAAAAGCCTCCACCTTGACAATAACAAAGCCTGTCGTTTTTTTTAAGACCAATACAGGCTTAATTGGATCGAAATGTGTTCCTGCTTACCTTTTGGTCTAAAGTCAGTTTCTCATCAGTTTTACCACTTTCGAGTTTCGGTTTTCCATACCATCTATCGACCAGCGGCTGGATGAACTTGTGCCAGATATATAGAAATACTGGCACAAGAATACACGATATTCATACCATTTTTATATGGACAAAAAGCTTCTTTTGCCTCGGACGAAAATCTCTGTGGTTCAGATGCAAAATTCTTCAAGATTCGAGTGACGAAAGCTGATACGCATGCCCTAAACAGGATATCAAAGTCTTTATTTTTATGTACATTGTAATGCGGGCTCAGTTATGGAGGCTTCTCTGGTAAGACCTACAGTAGATTTCGTCAATCGAGAAATAATTTATTGTATTCATGGGAATTGATTGAATGTTTCAGTAATTACCAACCCTTACGTATGTTGAATTTTTTATTTTATCTAATTTGAAGGAGGCCTTGAAATCGATGTTCGAACCAGATTTGGTGAAAAAGACGCTCTCTTTGATGCAAGTTTATGTGAGAAACATAGTGAAAGACCCAAGCAATCAGAAATACAGGAAAATTAGAATAAGTTAGTAAGCATCGATTATGAACCGAACTCCATTGATATTTGACTTGTTATGCTTAGTTTTACGTCAGTTTCACTTGCATGTTTATTGTAGCACATGTGATGATGTTTTGTTGTCAAATATCAGGTAACCCCAAGTTCAATGCCACCATCTGGCAAGTGGAACAAGCCAGGACGTTTTTACTGTTTGCAGGGTTTGAACAGGTTCAGTTAGTTTTAAATTATAAGGTTTATATACACTAACTTTTTGTAATAAACACACTGTATATTTACTTTGAGATTTACAATGTATGTACAATGTACTGTGGGCATTTAAAAATGCACTCAGTGAACCCTACCTAGCTTTGCACCTGGAATAACAAATGCTTACTTGTGTCTTCCCTATAATTTCTCAGGAGAAATTTTCCATGTATAATAATGAAAATGATTACTTCACTTTCTGCATCAATCAAAAGGATGACTGTAGGAGATAAAATTAAACATGGGAAAATGGAGTCAAGTATTGGCAAAGTAAACCAACCATGCTGATGTTTACATATACCTGAGGGTTAATCTACATAATTCTTGAACAAGTGTTTAATTCAATAATCACTTGATTGATAAACTCCACAAACCATATACTAGTAATCTTAATCAATACATGCATTATCATGGCACAACATCACACCTTTTCCAGCTTCTCATTACAAAATTATGACACTAGACATGTTCTGAGATTTTGAAAAGTAACCTACCAGTAACCTTCATGTTCAAATCATATTCAAATGAGCTTAAATTTGGCCATAGATGCTGCTCCTTTTGAAAAAAAAAAAGATCACAATTCAACTTATGAATGCCTCTTTGTGTAACTGATCAAACAGATTGCTTTAAAGAGTTGGGAAAAAATAGCAAGACTCTGTTACATATACATGTACCCCAAAGACAAGCAGTCAGGTAGCTTGATAAGTTTAAAGTGGCAGCATATTAAGAATAAGTTTAAAGTGGCAGCATATCAAGAATAAGTTTAAAGTGGCAGCATATCAAGAATAAGTTTAAAGTGGCAGCATATTAAGAATAAGTTTAAAGTGGCAGCATATTAAGAATAAGTTTAAAGTGGCAGCATATTAAGAATAATTTTTGTTGCACTAATAGACAATCTTCAAAAGTTTAGGAAACTCTTTGGAGTCTCAAAACAGGATCATTTTCATAATCTCAACAGTTTTCATTTGGGCAGATAAAGACTTCATTGTTTGAAAAGCCTACTTCTCCTATAAAGCAAAGGTTACAAAACTATGAAACATGGCCTAATTTGAATTTAATTTGATGAGACTACTTTAATTTCATTAGCTTTTGGTGTAGCCATCAGACATAAAATGTATTGTTATATCAAGCAGTTGATGGAGGAGTTCCAATAAGAGCCTTACATGGCATAACAAATAGCCCTTATTGCCATCTGTTGAGATTTCATTTTATATAGATTTGCCTTGCCCCTTTGGTTGTTGTAGTGGCATATTCCACCACAGGTAATCATTTGAAGTGTGAAAAACCTTGTTGAAACTCAGGTGTTGATAAGCCCCTCTGTTTTGCAACTAGCTTCCAAAATATGATTTTTTTAGTGGTTAATGAATTTCTTTTTGTATCTATGCCATAATGTCTCTTTAGGAAGGGGATTTTCTGTTTCTACCCTCTTCTATAAAACTTGATGGAGCCAAACTGTTGATTGATGAAGCTCTTGGTATTTTACCATCAAGTCAAACACTCTCAGTTACTGGTAACTCCCCTGCTGCCACTCAACCCAGCGGTGTGCTCAAGCTTAATAAACAGAAAGGTGAGTAAAAGGCACTGAATATGAGTTACACCAGGAATAATCTGTATGGTTCCTATATTTATGAGGTCATGAAATTACATAGAATAATGACATGCATCAATACAAAAAAGCTCTGTGGTTCCAACTGTCAACACGTGTGTGATAATTAATATATTTTGATTTCTAATACCTTTCAATTTATCAGACTCAAGCTTGTTTGATCAAGATGTCAAGGCAGATCTCACCTTGCTGTCCTACATGAAGGAAATGGGTAATTATACAATAGCTTTTCAAAGTGCTCTTACAGTGTACTTTTTTGAATTAATACAGTAGAACCCTGCTGACTTAAACTCCTAAGGGCAATGGAAATTGGTTCAAGCTGGGTTTCTGCTTACTGGGTTGGTGTTGAAATTCAAGTATTTTGGTAATAATTAATAAGGAATCATGTGTTTACTATTTTTGTCCAATCAACAGTCATTTTTATCCAATTATTTTGTTTCACAAGAGCTTTTTTACAAGAATGTTTAGTTTGGGAGGTTCATTGAACTTTTTCTGAAATGTTATCATGTTTATGTCAATTGTGATCAATCAGCTATGCTCTGACACTTTGACATTTGTAAACTGACCTTTTTAGGTAAAGTTTTAGCTACATGCTAAATTTGAGCCAAGGCAAAGTTAAGTTTGAGTCAATAGGTAGTTCAAGTTAACTGAACTGCAGTTAACTGCAGTTACCCGTTCTGTATTTACCAATGAAAAACAACAATAATGTCCACGAATAATATTTTCATTAAGTCTCATGGCTTGTACTTGCAGGTTATGATGTCGGTGTAGCAGAAAGAGCTCTTATTGTTACAAAAAACAGTGGAATTCAGCCTGCTATAGATTGGTAGGTGCTAATAATTTGGCACGAAAGTTTTCACTTAAACAAGAGCTAAAATTAAGGAACAGTATAACAGACATTCTGAAAACAAAAACACAATATCTTTTTTACTAGCTTGTTGTTAACACTATAGGATAAACCAGAACCCTGATAAAGCAAGGGCACCTCTCAGGAATTCAGGGGCTAATGTTCCACAGGATAACTCAGAGATTAACAGACAGGAACCACTTTCTTGCAACTTATCATTTGTAGTAAGTCACTTGCGCATACTTTTATACTTTTTTCTACATTGTATTCTAATGTCAAGTCTACCCAGTATTTTCTGCCAATCATTTACAGAGGACTTTCATCACTGATGACCACTTATGCAATATTATATTTTTACAGTCAGCACCAGTTCTATCTAGATTCCAAAAGACAATAGATGAAAGGCATAAATTCCAGGAAAAACTCAGACTGGAAGCAATTGAGGAGGCAAAGTATGGAAACTAAGTGTCCAATTCAACTGTGTTGAAGTTGTTTTTCTTCCTAGAATAAACAGATGTACCCTCACACATCATTATGCATAGAGGGCCACAACTGGGTCATACTTAATATATGCATATCAAGTTTCTGTTACAGACAATGGAACAAAGGCAAAGCAGAAGGCTTTTCTCTCACTGTCGATAGGGAAGAAAACAGTAAAAATAAAGACAATAAACTTTTCAAGTGGAATGCCATCTACTGTGAAATATTTGCCACTGCTTTCTTAAGAGTGGAACAAAGGCAAAGTAGTAAGCTTTTCTCCTATTGTTGATAGAGATGGAAATGATGAAAATGAAAGACGGTGTTTGTTTTTTTGTTTCATGTGGAATGCCATCTCCTGTACTGAAATATTTGCTTCTCACCAAACACCAAAAAGATATCAGGGATGCAGAATAACTTTTTTTTATGTCAATAAAGTAAAAGAGGCATGCACTGTATACCATTTGCACTAAGATGGAATGTAGAAAATGAATTTATCTATTTCTTCTAGATTAGAAAAGCAGAGAAAGAAACTTCATAAGGAATATTTATTGAAAGATTTGAAGGATGATAAAGAAGAAAAATTGGAAAAGGTGTGATGTTTTTCCATGACAATGCACATAATGATAGTTGAAATAGTTACTTCAGAGATGCAGCACCAAAAGGTGCTTTGATTTATCTTCATCAAATGGGTGAAAATTTGCATATGGTTGAATAAAATTTTTAACACATGATGCACTCTTCTATCATGCTTATGTATACTAAGCTATGTGCAACTGATCTGATTTTTAACACAGTGGACATTTCCACAGCATAACTTTCTTCTACACTCAAAGTTCGAGGTGTTTTTTGTTCTCTATTTCAATTACTTTCAATTTGTTTTAGTTTTAATCCTAAGCAATGCAATCCCTGCCTTAGAAATTCTCCCCGATGTACATGTACTTGATCTAATACATTCTAAATTAAGTTGTTCAAAAGTGCATGGGAAGTACGTAAGGTGTCTTGATGGATGGATGCTCATGTTCTCAAATTATCCCGATATATCACCTAGACAAAACAGGCAAAGCTTGCAGATAACAACCCAGGCCCATCAAATGAGCCAATTGCTGATCAGCATTGTGATTTAAGTGATTGTGTATCATCATCAATGGTGGAACTGAGAATAAGAATGCCAAACAGTCAGGTACTTTGTTAAATGAAAATCAATCGTAACTAATTATAAGTAGAGCTGAAGAAATTTAACAATAAAAGAAATAGGAATAAAAGAAAACTTGTTTTTTATTGCCATTATAACTTTTTAAATCTTCACTACAGCAGGATCAGTCCAGGTTAATAATTTTGTAATAAGTACTCCCTTCAATTAAGTGTCCTCCTTCCAATAAGCACCCCTACTTCTAGCTGAAACAAGTGCCCAGGTGCTTAATCAAGGTAATGCGGTGTTAGAAGTTTGGGTTACCGATTCAAACTGAGCTATGAAACTACAATACACACAGGAGAGAAGGTCAAGATTATGTCAAATGTGGGTAGATGTTTGGTAAAGTTTTCAGTATTGTAGAATTATTCATCTCACCATGTTATGCCCAACACACGTCATTGCATGTATGGTTGTTTTGTCAGCACCCAAGAATATTAGGTGATAATGAAGAAACATTAACAGGCTTGGTCAATGCCACCAACATTCTCATTTTACTTTTGCCTTTTTCAGGTTTTAACTGTTTGTCTCTCTGAGGATTCGACAGTTCAAGCGTTATATCAGTGAGTAACTTTCAACATCACCAAGGAACTTGTAGCAGTGACTCTGGACTTACTTTCTAAAAATTATTTTACACCCTTTGTGTTGGTTAAATCAGTTCAGAAAATTACTTATGATTTTTATCCAGAAGAAGATAAATTATTTTCAATTGTGTTGTTTACAGAGAGGTTATAAAGCAATGGCCCACAAATGACACTGTAAACTTGGATGATATTTTCCTTATGACATCATTTCCTCAGAGAAGAATTAACGACCTGGAAAGAACTTTACAAGAAGCAGGTACATGATCAGCTTTAGATCTACATGCCGCTATTTTCAGATAAGCAATGCGGCCTAGTAAATTGAATAGAGAAAGTCTCTTCGGGTAAATGTTGTCCTTTGAATTGAGAAGGATGGAAATTTCTTAAGAGACAAGACAACATCGAGGAAAAGAAAACTGAGATAAAAAAAGGTAACTTAGGTACACAACACATACTGCGAGGGTTTACACTGATCACAAATGTGATGTTAATCGCAATGAAACGAAAACAAATTGTGTGCAATGAAACTGTCAAACAACAATCAATGCTGAGAAGATTAGTCAAGTTGATAACATAACGGAGTAACCGCCTACCAAAATATGATTAAAGTAACGTTTTCAACATGACCTGATCATGGGTTCCATATTGGAGGTACAAATTAATCGTGAGGGAGTCGAGTGCTTGCCTTGGGTAGTAACCTCGTGGCACACAACCCAGTTGTATACGGAATTTTCTGCGGATGAATTTTTCCTTTTCAGAGTTTTATTTGACATTTCTTTTTATTTCTAAACGCAGTAGTTAGGGAATCTCATTCTTGTGCTGTTCATAGGCCAGGTCACTTAAAAAAATTGTTTTGGTATGGATTCTCTTAAATTTAGGACTTGTAGAAAACTTATATCCTTTGGCATTACCAGAAGCATATGACGTAGGTTATACGCTCCTTGAAGTACTTATCGGAAATGAATTGTTCGTCAGAGTTTTGGGAATGAAATGTATGATTGGACCTGATTTGTAGGTTTGGTGCCTCGTGCAACTGTTGTGGTACAGAGAACAGATCAACAAGGCGTTGTTGTTCAGGGAGAGGGAGCAGGTAAAACCAGCGTCCTTTTTAATAAACTGTTGTCCATACTTGCCATACTTCACCCACGAATTCAAACGTAAGATGAAAGGCTAAAGTTCTTTATTCTTGTTTTTTTTGTTTTTTTTTAAAGAAGCATAACCAGTTCATCCAGTTCAGAATACTGTCACGACCTGACAGAATGAGGATGTTTTCTACGCAGCTTAAGTTATAAACTGAAATAATCCTTTACCACCCGATGTAAAAAACTTGTTACCCATACATCCTTAGGTCGACTTCTTCTCACTGCTCCATAGTCTCTGCATTATTAAGTTTTAAACCATAAGCTCATGACCTAGGTTATAAGCTACTGATTAAACTAGTTGCGCCCTTCGCGGATACGAGAGCGATCCCAGTATGTAGTATCAAACATCCACCTGTGTGTATGGGCCATGAGGGCCTGTTTTCAGGGACTGTGAATGACGTTTCGATATGAGAGAAAGTCTTTCTTAGAATATCTATTGTACCTTGTCATTTGTTTCTATCGTAGTGTGCGGTATACGAAATATCACGAAACTCGACGACTGGCAATCAGTACTGAGTGAGCGGGACAAACTAATTGTTGTTCAGTTTTATGCCAGTTGGTAAGCTGACCGACCCATTTGGTCACTTTTCATTAGGGTAACACAAGAAAAGAGCATCCACTTATAATCCATTTTTTCCATGTAAAGCTACTGAACCGGGATCTTTTTAGTCATTGTACTTTGTTGCAGCAAATTGCTTACTTCTGTCGTTGCTAGGGCCTCTTTAAACTTTTCCTTTGTGACAAAAGTCCACTTAGTTCACCTTTCGTTTTACTTTGAGAATTGCGCTTTTTAAAGTAGAAAGTTAAAACAACATTGTATTTTATTGCAGGTGTTCATTATGTAGGTCCGTTTCAGACTCATTCGATTCATTAAACGCAAAATATGGAATGAACAGACAAGTTGTATTTGTGCGGGTTAACGTCGAACAGTTGAAGGTTGGTGACATCACCAAATGTAATATTACTCTAATTGGCTGGTAGAAATGTCAAGTGTTGGTTTAGCGCCTGGTATATCATTCTGATTATCTCATCTTGGAAGTCAAGTCTCTCTAGAGTCCTAGTCGGTGATATTTCAAACTTTTCGTAGAGAGTAAATACTTTTTGGCAAATACGTGTGGCAAATCTAGGTTTCTGTTTATCTCATTTGTTGTATTTCTGTGACTGACGCTTACTAAACGTCTAGTAAAGACTAATTATACGTGAATGTATCTCCCTTTTACTCTGATGTGGTTATTGACAGGTGCTAAAATACCAACAGAGAGTCACGTCACTGCCGACTTTTAAACTCGTTTGGAACGCACAGGTATTTGATATATTAGCTGATGATTGGATAATATTTTGAAGTCTTTTTACCAGACTTCTTTCCATTCCATGGACTTGTCGTGGGATAATTTCCTTGAAACGAAAAGAATTACTTCTTTTTTATGTGTTACTTAGACTGTAGCTCATGTAGAAGGAACAAATATGGATGATTTGAGGCAAGAAATCGAGAAAAACATGAGGGGGCCAAGTGACACGATCCCACAAGAAGAGCCATCGCTGATTGATTTGAACCATGACCCGAGATGATAGATGGGTGAGGTCTGGCCTTAATAGTATGATTATTTCCTTTATAAGAAGGTTTTTTGCTCGCGATTGAAAGTATACTTGGCCACCAGTTGATGGAGAAAGTAGAAATAAGTTTAAACGCGGACTCAAGAAAGAGAAATGGATATCCATAAGATATTGAGCAAATGTTCTAATATTGTTTTATTACCTAATTAACATGGATATGATTTAAAAGTATATTTTAGTTTTTTATTAAGATGGGTGAAAGACAATAGCATATTATTGGTAACAAGTCAGTGTTATGACAGACTTACGAAGTCCATTTGTTTGTAAGTATTGTTAATGTTTCCGAGCGTTTACCTTAGTTCATCTATATGTTGTTGAATAAAAAGTCGGAGTTTTAAAAAACTGCATTGTCCCGTGATTGTGTGACCTACACGTATGAGGCAGTGCATCTGCTGAAATCGGAGCCGCCCACCAGACAAAACACCATTTGAGAAGTTCTTTAACACAGGCAAACCTTGTAGGGACTTTGCCGAGATATTTTTTCGAATAACTCTCTTTTACATCTATTTAGTTTCAAGTTATTTGTTATATTTATTTTCTAAATCTCCAGTAATCCAGTAGTAACCTACAACACCGTGAAGTATTTCCAGTTGTACTCCAAAAATCTGCAAGCATGCAAAATTACTGAAATACCAATACTTTGAACATGGCTTGTAACCAACGCCGTTCGATGTCCCGTTCGCATCGCCGGTCAATGATTGTGTTGAGATTTCCTCAGTCACTGTTTTGGTCGACTTCTGATTCCGGAAGTGAAATGAAATATATTTTGGTTTCATTGCACGGGTGGCGATAGCCTTTTTAGATGCTCTTTTATACCGTAACTCATCAAATAGATGTTAGGGACGACCATTTAATTTTTAGAGCCAATGCGATTAATAGACAGAAGGCTTTTAAAATAGAAAGGCTCGAGAAACCTCTCATCAGTTTGGCGTAAAATCAAGAGTTGATAAAAAGCAGACTATCCAATCCATTCGTCTGTACGTCAAGGCTGTTCCAAGCTGTTCTTTCAAATCTCAATCGTCCTGAGTCATTGTTTTATCCTTAGCCTCTTCGATGTCCGAGTCAGTAATTACTTGGAAAGTGTTTGAAAGTTTTGACTCATTTAGCACGGATTGTTGTGTCTCTAGCTGAGATCGAGAAGGCCGAAGACCGCTACCCTTACTTTGACCATGATATTGAGCAAGATGCAAACCCCAAGGCATTTTATATCTATCAAGAAACAGAATAAATTGACTAATTCCGCTCCATTTCGCTAGTAGGAGTAATGTTAAGGAGGGTGTCTTTAAGCAGAGAGGAGTGTCTAATACAATCAATGCAGCGTGGGGGCCTTTTCTTAGAAAAAAGTTGTGTACTTGACGGAGGTCTATTAGATCATGTACTGTATTTAAAAGTAATTGAACAAGCTGCCGTTACCTTTTTGAACGGGAAGGATATCGATCGATTCCTGACTGGCCTTGAAACTGGGCTGAATAGTTCATGAGAAATGATATCTCGTTAAAGGAGCCGAATGCAAAATCATCGAATTTCTGAGATATATTTATGTATACAAGAGATTATAAACAGTTTATGTTATCTTGTATATATGAAATGAACCAGCGAATTTGACACTTAAGGGCGTTAGTCCTTCAAGCCGTGTGAAGGGTCGCGAGTTTTGTGTAATCAAATTGCGCGACGCATGTCACAAACAACTCAGCTATCCTAAATGTTTGATTAGAGCGTTGCTATATGTTACACAAATGCTTATTACAAGTACGTAAGGTAGCTCTTGGAGCTATTGATGCCTTCTAGTTTCTCTTAGTTTCAATCATTGAAGGAGTTAGATTTACTTTTTTCATTAGAAAGTATCTCAAAAGCCTTTATCAACCTCTTCTTAAGATTCCCTCGGTGTAGGTATGAGGTAAATCGAAGAAAAGTGTAGAGGGTAGATCTTGGACCTCTACGTTAAGTTTTTCTACTAAACCAATGCGTTCTAAAACTCTAACTATTGACAATCCTACAAAGACTTGGTTGCCCTGAGAGGCTCGAAGTGATCATCAGGTCTTGACTCGAAGACGTGCCTTAAGGGATAGCTGTATCATCCACAGTTACTTGTTTCTAATGGAATCTACCAAAGTTGTGCTGTATTTCTGCCCCATCTCTCGCTTTCTATAGTACCGTGCTGGAGGATGCTTTCACCACTTAACATCACAGTAGTCTCAACTGATCCTTGGTCAAAATCAAGTAAAAAGGTCTTGAAGGAAGTTTGAAGTTGATATTTGCCAAAGATTTATCACCAAGTGACTTGCCGTGGTGCCAGTGATGATCCTGGATGTTTGTAATATGAGTCGAATTAATCATTTTTTCTCTGAAATGAGCGGAGACTGCGCTGGTATAGGACCAAAAAGAAGGTCCTTGTGGTTTTACTCCGAAATGTCACAAAATAACACAGCTTTTAAAACAGTATCCAAATAAATGACAAATCACCGTCGTCCACCAGCCACTGTGGCTCCTATGGCATTAGTTCCGGTCCGCACCATCGTTAGCAGACGCTAGGGAAGATGAGACGAAAAGAGAGTTAAACCACGTGACAATTTGGTGGCCTTCATCAATATACTGTATTTCAACCTTTAGGTATTCAATGGATTACCGTCCAATTTGGGAATTTTTGACCAAAGATTCGCTGGAGTCGTTCTAGTATTTGTTAAATCTACGATAAATTTCTAGAACGACAAGACTTACTTCTTCATTGAAAATTACAGACATAGCAACCCACTTCACCTTACTTGGAGATGACCTTCAGAGATTGTGAAAAATCACTGTATAAACCGCATTACGTTGTAAGTCAACCTACTCTTGTTTATTGTCCAAGTGCGGTCAATGCATTGCAGTTTTGATGTGATAAAAAAAATTTTTTTTTGACAATGGCGCAGCTGTATCTTAAGCCGGGCACTCCCCTGGATCGCTGCAATCAAACACTTAGATAACTTGGTGACGATTTACATAAACAAGCACAGTTTATTGCTGTGGACAAACCCTGCATAAATACTCCGGAGCTAGGAAACGAAATGTCGCTCCCTCAAGTAAAATCTGCTGAGAATCGAAATAGATTATCCGCCTTCAAACCCGTTTACTCGAAAAAGCAGATGTCCTTTGCACTCGTAGCCGTTCAGTCAGGGTATAATTTTCACGCAAGAGGATGTAATCGACAGAAGTCCCCTCTCTCAGCGCTGGAGGATTTTGTAGCCAACTACTTCACTGAAGAGTCTGTTTTAGAGGCAGATCGAGTACTATTATCAAAAAGTCGATCGTTTAATCCGAGGCTTACCAAGAGATCAACAAATTCAACCAAAAAGTTTGTGTTCTCTGAAGTGCAGATTATGACTCTTGAAGATAGTTTTAACTTCAAGCAGTATCTATCTCCACCTTCGCGAAAATGGCTTGCAAACTTACTAGGTGTGTCCAAACGCCAAGTCGTTACGTGGTTCCAAAATCGACGGGCAAAAGAACGCAAAAGGGCTGGAATCAAGCTACCAAAGCATGGGAAGAAGTGTGTACTGCAACAATAGCTTTATTTTCTTTTCTTTTTTTTATTGAGAGGATAAAAGAGATCGGCGGATACTACAGCGCACAGCTTTTAGGTAGAATTTGTACGGTACACGAACGTTCTGCGTGTGTCAACTTTTCACCCAAAAGCGTCGATTTATTTTAGCCCATCTAGACGTCGTTTACACAGCACTTTCTTTCCATTATGGTTTGACAGCAATTATGAGAAGTTATAGCTGTCTATTGTCCAATGCTAACGCGTCATCTCTTGAATTGAGTGCTGTATGGGACTTGAAATGAGAGAGAAGAACTTATTAGATGTTTTCTCTGCAAACAGTGTAATTGCTCTCTTAAAGTATGTGTATTTGTTCAGAATTTCGATTAAGTCCTAAATCGATGTTTTTCTTTCATTTACACTTTGAACTGATGATGGACCGTGTTTCAAGAGTGACCTGTAATGAAGTCACATTGGATTTGTACAAACGAGATAAATCTCAGCGACTCAAAGGCCACCCATGATTTAGCCGCATTTAACGCACGATACAAGCCTTACTGTAGATCTTTTTAAAGACAGAGCTATTAACTTTTCATTGTGCAATGGCCGATTTACGTATATATTTTATCATTCCTTTGGTTCAAGATTAAGTCGTCAACAGATGATATATCTTTAATACTACTTGCGACATGTTTATTTAAACATACAAGAGGTATTAGTGTAAGCCAAGACAGCAGGAAAATGCTACCATTCATCTACTAATAACACTTAGGGTAAATATAAGTATCATGTTCTTGACAGCGAGGGAAGCTTTTACATAACATAACTATTGAGAACCACACAGTATTCATTATACCCTTATCAAGGCAATCTATTTTATCTACAGAAACGGCTTAAAAGTGAAATTCATACTTTTAATTAGTATCAGGGAGTGTTTTTTTTTTCAGAAATTGCGACAAAAAACATAGATGTAAAACTGTTTAGTCACAGAGAGATCAGTTTAAAGCTATAAGGTTTCAATTTTATACTTCTGAGAAGGAGTTGACTTGAAATGTCCAACAATTTCCAGTACGTGCTGTTCTGTTTTTGTTTTTATTAAGATGATTGGAATCAACAAATGTTTTGATAACCCTACAATATATCAACAGTACATCACGAAATAACATTTCCAGCTATGAACACCGAAAATTCAGAATAATAAGGTACTATTATTGCTACTCTGGGAGCCCAACATAATCTTTTTTTCAGAAAATGAACAGACAATAAAACATCTTTTCTGAGCATACCAACAACACAAAACTCAAACAATACAGGCCCCTCTTTTTCGCTGCACAAAACTTTCTTGCAATCCAGCACTGTATTCTCAAACACATGCTATGGCTCGAAGCGTCTCACTGTAAATATTGAGACCTGTAGAAATTACAGGTGAAACAAGACTTACTACATGCAATCATGGGATTAATCCGTCCATCAATCCGTCGATGAACGCCTTACTTCGTCTTGAAAGCTACTTCTGGCTTCATTGGGTCAAATTTTCCTAAATGAATTTGTCATTTTAATCCAACTGCAGGTGATACACATCATTGGTTAGTTTTTCTTTCATACTGGTGAAGCCGGAAACTAACATGTACGTCATTAATTCGAATGATCCGCTCCTTCCGTTATGGGAAAGATCTTTAACTACGGTTGTTGATTTCGCCCTCATATTCCTAGCCATTTAACATACTCGATCAGGGCGGTCATGGATCTCAAACAACTACCCTGTAATCTACTCATCAGAGCGTTCACTTCCCACATTCAGTTTTCAGAAACTGTTCTGTACAGGTGATATTTCATTAACCTCACCAACATGTTCTGTTAATTGTGGAGCCCGCCCTGGCCAGCACCTTCATGTCCGTGTTCAGTCTAACAGCCACGGCAGAATAGAATAGGTGACAAAAAGCCCTTACTAACTCTATCAAATCTACTAACAAAATGTGTTGTCCCTTTTATCTAAGGATGTTTTTGAGTTATCTCGGTTTCATACCAGATACAAAATTCTTGGAAGATGCAACGTGCCATGCCTGCAGTATAATAAATGACGGAAAGAAGGAAGTGGTCTCTTTTTTTGAACATATCCTTCTCTTACAACTAATAATTATAATTATTTAGTTGAGTTACTCTTATTTCAAGGTCTCTTCATGTGAAAGTCCACCTTCGATTGCGACTGCAGTGAGAGAGAAAAAGAAACCTTACACCTCGATTGTCTCTCATCTCTACTTCTTGCGCGGAGTAAACAAAATGAAAAAATCTCTGGCACTAACGGTGTTGTCAAATTCCCTAGTTAGTACCATCTTTTGATTGGACCGTCTTAGATTTCAGAATTCTCACGTGCAAATAATATGTGATTTCAAATTTTGAATTGAAGTTCAATTCAAAATGAAATTGCCTCTGGGGGCTTTGAGGACTACATACAAAGCGTTACTTATAATAGCCATTACGATTATCCACATGAAGAATTTATTGACTACTCGTGAAGCGAATTTCCATTCTTCACGAAGTATTTGCGCTTTGTCCTCTTCGCGATATCTTTGGCTTAGTAAAAAGTCATTTTCTGTTTCACTTGACCGCTCATCGAGGCTTTGACCTGTAATAAGTTCGGTTGTTTGTGTTTGAGAAGGTAGCGAAATTTCTGGTATCCAGTTCACTACGGCACCTTTAGTGATGATGTCGTTTGCTGAGAATTTCTGCTTTATCTCTATCTGTTTCCTCTTTTCTTGTATTATGATCCATTCTTGTTGCATGCGGACCAATTTTACCCCCCATTCACACAATGAAGTTCGCATCCAGCGAGGTAGCGGAACAGCAGTGTGGTGATACAAAGTTAGGACGACACAAGAGAAAACCAAAGACATAAAAATATTTAACATGGTAAGCCCATAGTAGACGACAATGAGCGGTACTTCCGAGGTGGGTGGAAGGGAATCGGATAAAATCAACTGAATAATACTTAAAGACAACAGCACTGTTATACCAACGCCCATCCGTTCTCCAGTTTCTGACGGTAAGTAGAACGAAAGGATTGTTAAGGCCATCATGATTAGACACGGCATGAAACAGTTTAGCACGTAGTACAAGGACCGTCGCTTGATATGAATATTGTATGTTAAATACACGTACGGATGGGGGCAACAGCGAAATTTAGTCACGTGTCTTTTTGAGGGCATGCCTTGAAGAATCCACTCTCCATTGGCAATGAATGAGCTGGTGTCGCCGTCGCCTATATTGAAAAGATTCATCTCATAAATGTTGTACGACCACGAGCCCAATTTTAGAGTACAAACCTACAAGATAATGATGAAAACACTGTTAGGCAAGGCTAGTTTCTTTTTGATGATTCTGTCTGCAAAAAATCTTCCTATCTTGAAAAAGAGATTATTTTTCAAAGTTGTTACCTGGTCGTCAAAGGGAAAATTCTTGACTTCTAGTCTGCAAGAGGATTTGTAGATAGTTGGGAAGTACCTTGATATGTTTCCGTCTGAAGTTATGGTCAGGCTATGATACGATTCTTTATCAATATTATAATCGTCCTTGGCGCTGCAAGAGATCACGTGGTATCAGAGCATACAAAGATATAGCCAAAGGATAACTGCATGAAGAGAAATAAGGTGGTCATTATGAAAGTTTACGGCTGTTTGTTGTCTCATACGTGTTTGTATTATCAGTGATAGCATACATTTATGTCCAGAACTGAACTTCTCAGATTTGCAGCACTTGGCCTCAGTGATGCCTTTGTGTGTATTTATTGAAATTAACGCTAATTCCACCCAGCGCGCGGAACTCAGGCTGTTGAAACCAAAGATTTGGTTTCAAGAGCTGGAACGTTTTCACTAACAGCGCATATACTCTTTGGTAACTTTGGGGTCACATGATATCACACAATGACACTATTAACGTTTCTGAGCTCAGGAAATGAGATGAAGAGAGACCTTTTTTATTGTATAGCGAGCTAAGGATAAAAAGAGAATTTCTGAGTTCCCATGAGGGATCGAACCTCAGATTTGCAACACATGGCCTCATAAATGCCTTCTTTTGGTCACATTATATCAAACAATGACACTGTTTACGTTTCTGAGTTCCGTAATGAGATAGAGAAAGATTTTTTCTCATCGTGTCACGAGCTTGGGATAAAAAAAAAATGTTAGTCCCTATGAGGAATCGAATCTCGGACGTTCGGATTCCGCGCCGCGCCCCGATTTCCAACCACTGGGTTACAGTTATTCTGAGGGTCTGTGGTTCAAGCGTCCCAAGCTCGTGAAAATTCGGAAGAACTCTTACCCTATGTCATTACTGAGCCTAAATATTATCATTCGACATGCTTATCCCACCAGTAGGTTGAACGTAGGTCACATATAAACCTTGTATTGGTCTAGCTCATTGTCGAGTCTCTGACACTCAGTGGTAGAGCTTTACGGTCAGTCTTGGATTTGATTCCTCTCAGGGACTCAGAATTTTTTCCTTGTCCCAAGCTCGTGACAAGACGAAAAAAAGGAATCTTTCTCTATAGAACTGTTTCTGTCAAAACTCTGTGAGCGGGCAACATTCCAAAGTCTTTGGCGTCAGAGAGTAATTGTGAACGGTTTTCCTTAAGAACTGACCGACAACCAGCGTTGCGGGTGACAGAGTATGATTGTGGGTGGTGAGAAATTTTGGCTTTACAGTATTTTGACCTCATATGCACTTACATGTAATCTATAAATTTACGATTTGTTTTGCACTTTATGTCAACTTATTTCTTCGCCGTACCAAACAAATCACTAAACGATTGGTCTCCCGGGAAACAATTCATTTTGTTTCCCTCTAATCTCGTGAGACCCTCGAGAAACTTAATGAACTGTCTTCCTGTGGAACAAGTCATTAAGTTTTTTTTATAGTTAACTCAAAAGTTAAGGTACGTAAGCGTGCTAAGAGCAAAACGTACTTGTTATAAAGTGTGATGTCTGGGAGCCACAGATAGCTTGCCTGTGTCACAATTGATTTTACGTCATCATATTCAGAGGAATTCCATCGAAGTCTATGATCGCTCCAATACTAGAAACATGAAAACCACTTTCATTTATATTCATGTCGAAGTTTTAACAGAAAATGAATTTATGATGTGACTGGTTGACTTATTGACTAGGTATGCCAGCTCTGTCCATTACCTTTGACCTACTTTTAGCAGAGGCGAATTTGTATGTCAAGGGGAGATTACTCCTTATGTATGCCAATCTGTACACCGAGAAGGGAACTGGGTAAGAGGGAAATGAAAGGGCTAGCCGGTGGGATAAAAAGAGGCTAAAAGGGAAATTACTTTCGATTTCATTTTCGCCATGTAACACTTCTCAATACCGGCAAAACACGTGAACGTTGAATAGTTCGTAAGTCTTTTCTTCACCTAAAACTCTGTTGTGTAATGGGTATTAAAGACATTTTGATGGTCGCTTCTTTAAATACAGAAGCAACCAAAATCAAATAATTGCTTACCTGTCGAACCCAAATCACTGACGTCATTGTCTGGGCTCGCTTGTTCTGCAACGAGATTTGAAATAGAAAACGTCAAAGCATTGACAGAATAAGAGACATGCAGACAGACAAAGCTTATGTAGACACAAGCTAGCAGCCAGTCCCACCAGCTACGACGTATCACTGATAAAATTAAAAGATCTATAATTCTGCCACTATGGCCTGTAGTGGGACTGTGTGTTTCGACAGACCGAGTTTGTTAGGTTATCGTTCTGGCACGCTCCTAGTTATTCAATTTTTCAATTTCACACTGATAAACTTACCACATCAATGAGTTGATTCAATGCCAAATCCAATGTAACAGTAACCCCACTCTCCAGTGTTGTTTTAGGAATCACGCTTTTGTCATATTTGCTCAATAACTTATGTTCAAGCTTCTGAACTATCTCTGAACTGGGTGCGCCTGCAAAATAGAAACCAGGACGGGGAGGATGGCGAAGGAAACGTTTTGTTTCACTTATCGTAGCACTGTACTAATGAAACTTTGAATAAACAAAGGATGAAAGCGCGATAACCCGGATGCTGAGTACAACAAGATTGTTTAATAAGAATGGAGCTAAGGATGAATATCAGTAAAGACCCCATGAAAGGTCAACACACACACTTCTTCCTTCATCCCATAGCTAGTTGAAAAGCCGACGCAAAATTTATCCTTACTTATGATCACAACAGAACATTGAATGCGAGTCACATATCAACAGAGTAATAAATAAGTCAGCTTATTTGATCACCCTACGGAAGATATTGGATTTAAATCTTTGTCAGTTTGATGCAACAGGAACGTAAATCGAATATCTTTTTTCTTCAGCCTATTCATGTCAATTTTTAAGGCAGCGAATTGCTTTTTTTTATTCATCCCAGATATCTGTGTTGTTTAGTTTGGTAACTAAGATTTTTTTTGTTTTTGCTAATTACTTCAGTTATTGCATGGTTTCTCGTCAATATCGCCTTGGTACATAGCAAATATTTACCCGTCTAGCTTTTTATTGGTTATCATATCATCAAGAGTATTCGACGCGGATCTCTCGCAAAATTCCCTCTTTCTGTTGTCGAACCTCGTAATATATACGAAACAATTTCATATGAGTTTTACTATGCCGCATACGTCTATGAAATACATTCACCACGTCGCGCTTAAATGTTCAATCCCTCTCCTTGTAATATGATGAGTGCACACATTTGACCGGCTAAAAGTTCAACAAACAATGTGGTTCTTAATGTTATTCACATCGTGATCCACATTTTTCCCTTCAATTTCCCGTGAAGCGGAGATTACCATAGTGTAACACCTATTTTGTCGTGTGGAAAATTTTAATAAAATAATAATAGTAAAGATGACTCATCCTTTCTAATTCTAATTCTTTCTAATTCCTCACTAATTCTATAATAATTTAATAAGTCAATCAACTAGCGGAATTCTTCTTGGATTCGAGTGGAGGAGGATTGATATTCTGAGCCGATTATTTTCTCTTTTTCCCTTTTGGCAAACAGAGCAGAATTGAGGCCTTTAAAATCTGAAAAATATCTGCATTTGCGATTACAACCGACAAACATCCGTTGCTTCCAGAGAATTTGCATGGAGAATGTACCATATCTTCTCTGTCGTACTGAAAATAAAATGTCGTCGCAAGATTTTTCATTTAAGCGCATAATTAAAACTTACCTTCGCTTGAACGCAAGATGCCAACAACATAAACTGAAACCAAGCTAGTCACAAGTTTGATTTGGCGAGAAATCATTCTTGTTGAGGTACTAACAATTTGCCATCACGTTATTATGGTGTTTTTTAAGACTAGGCGACACAATTCTCTGCATACCTCAACGATTTATATTCGAACATCCGCGTAAAGGAAGCTGTATGTTTACAGCGCAGATAGTTTTAACTAAAGTAATTGGTTGGCTTGATAAACAGGTGGCCTTCAAGTTGTATTTATCTTATCAGTAAGGCTATTGGTTGGTTATTAACCTTTCCTCTTTTCTTAGGAAATTGAAAACATACATATTGCTCTGCCAGTGGTTCATCTAATCATCTTTATTGCAATTATGTTTCCAATGAGAACTCCAGGAAAGAGCTGTGTTGATTGTTGCAGCATCTGGAATTTAATTTATTGCAGAACCTAGAATAATAGACTTTCTCATATCATCTTCTTCGTGAGTGTCATGACAGCTTAACACCGATAAAGAACCGAAGCTCATGCTAGTATCACTTAGTGTTGTAAAAGCGTCCTGAATGATGGAAATACTCTGATTTTTTTTACTGATGAATGTTGTAAACCACTGTGTTAGTGCTTTCATTACAAGTGAGGGCAAACCACGCGCTGAGCAACATGCTGAGCAGTACAAAAAATAAAAAAAGAGTTTCAAACGCTTGAAATTAGAGCCAGTTTTGCCGAACCGAGACTGAAATAAGAACTTCATTCCCAAAGAAATCGGTTATGAGATCATAGTACTGTAGCTCTAATACGACCTGCGGTTATCAGACCGCTAAATTCAGATATCAAAATAAGCGTTTTGTATTTAACTATTTCTTGTTTACTATTAGCACCAAGAGAAATCCTGAACAAGGCACTTAAGCGTGGTCCCTAAGGGAATGTAGCGTTGAGCACGATCCGAAAACCTGTTCATAGTGACTATCAATGACAACCTCCCGAAGCTTCCAAACCATGAAACTTCGTTTCAGAAAAAAAGAGAGGAAGTGGTGTGAAAGGGATCTGATGTTTGGTAGAAGGTCTTCCCAGTTGGGTTAACCGATTAGAAGGTTTCATGCTAATTTACAGCACTTTTAGACGTTTTCCGAAAAGAGTAAACAGAGAAAGCTTTTTACAGAATTATACAACGTCAAAACAGATTGCTTCCTTCACACTATATTTTGAAATCCTTTTGGTTAACAAACGCTTATTCCCATGAAAAATTGGTTTCTGTGCCTGTGATGTTTGCCAAATTAGACATTTCAGAATGATGGTCTTGATTAGCTATGATGAACAAGAAATGAAGAGATGGAGTAGGTTTTTATTCGCTCTGACGAAGGGCCTTGAAACGGCAGCCTTAGAAACGCTTTACAGTGGACAATTTACACTATCAACTCATTTGATAACTGAAGCCTCATTATTTTTTGATGAACAAGGTTCCAACGAAAACATTGGGGAACGTTTTCCCTGGCTATGTATAGGGAGTTCTTCGCTGTTGCTAGGATCAGGTAGTGTGGACCGCAATTAAGCCTTATAAGTCGAAATTGATTCTTTTAGTCCTACCGCTATGATTAAGCGTTGACTCATTTCAAATAATAATTAATGGTATTTTCTCTTTCCATTTTATAGCGCAGTTCATGATAATTCCGTTGAAAAGATGACGTAACTATTGCTGGGGATAGAAGTTATTAAAACAAAAGAGAGAGAAAAACGTTTTTAGACGACTTTTTACTTGACGATCCGTTAATGGAAATCGTTCATATTGATATTTCTTATATAACTTTAAAGCCCCAAGCAAAGCTGGTTTATTTTTTTATCATGCATTGGAAAATGAATGTTCAAACACTATTTTACAATGCGGGGTTTACATCAAAGTTGAAACAACCACGTCTCCGTATAATTATCTTTACTGGAGTTCAGAATGATCATGAATTGTTATCCGTGATAACGTTTTATTACCCATATTATTAAAGCCTTACTTGTTTTATTCCATGTTTATTACATTTGGTTTGTTCTGCAATGCAACATTTTGGAAGGACTACTTCATGGAAGAAAGCTCATATTTCCGCAGGGTCCAAGAGAGTGTTGTTGCTCAGTAGCCTGTTGGTCATCAGTGCGTACCGCCAGAACAATAAAAAAACTGGCATTAAGAGTGACTTTATGTATGTTTTATTTTCATGCAGCTGTCACTTATGAATGACTCATCCCTTTTAATTATGTTGCTATTTTCTGGCGGGGCATATTTTCTCTTTCCGCGTTTCATTCGGTTGTTAAAACTATTCTTCCGTGTCATTGTTGTAGAATTTATCAATAGATTCTCGGTTTCTTCTCATTTAATCTTATTTAGATATTTTATCACCTTATCCAGTAATAGATAATCATTCTATAATATTTCTGGACAATCCGTATCATTTTTTACTGGGGAAGCAAGTTCCATACGTCTACCATACCACACGTCATACCAGCTATTATTCCTAAATTCAATTCTCCTGGCGAGCTGCTGAGCGCGCATGGAATGGAACAATTGAACTACGCGGCGTAGGGATCGAGGTCTCCAGATATCCATTCACTACATACGAACCCTCTGTTAACATTTAAGCCCTTTTAAATGCGAACTTTCCCTTATTAACAAATATTAATCGAGTCTAGCTGAGATTCTCACTCGGAGCCGAAAATAAAACACTAAGACAGTTGAATACAACTAGGAACAGAACAATCCACATGAACAATCTATTAAGTACCTTGGCAGCAAAGTGCCATTCTTCGACATGTCTTTCTTTCTCGTCGTCTTTCTTAGTCCTTTGTACAAGAACGTCCAAAGCTTCAGACTTTTTTGAAACTTGATTTGATCGCCTCCGCAAATTTGGATTTCTATCGTCGAGTTTCTTTAGTTGGATTGATGTAGTCGATGCTGACCCGGGTGGCTGTGAATGGTTTGCGTCACTAAATGGATTTGTCGTAGCATTCTCTGCGTTTTCCTCGCTGTAAAGCCTCTCCCCAAGTGAGTGTCTCCTCATGCTGCGATTTTTAAAGAACCTTCTTGCCGGGAGGCACGATTCGTTTATATTGCTGTTTCTCTTCACCCGTAGTGCGTTTGCGCACCATTGACAAATAAAGAGTCGTACCCAGGCTGGCAGAGGGGTCGGTGCATGGTGGTGGAACGTGAGGACAACGCACGTGAAAACAATCGAGATGAAAACGTTAATCATTGTAATAGTGTAGTAACGTGAAATAAGAGGTACTACCTCGGACGTGGCTGGAAGCTCCTCGGCTAACAAAAGAAGTATTACAGTTAGCGACAGCAGTACCGTCACACCCACATTCATCCTCTCGCCAGACTCCACGGGAAGGAAAAAACCCAAGATTGTTAAGGCTGACATGAGCACGCAAGGTGTTAAGAAATTCAGGATGTAATACATAGTTCGACGACGAATTACAACATTGTAGGTAATGAATGGATAAGGCTCTGGGCAACACCGATATTTGGTGATGAACTTGGTTACAGGCATAGCGACTAGAACCCATTCGCCATTATCTGTGAAAGCCTCTATGTCACCTGGTCCAGTGTGGAATATGTCCAAACTCAGGCCGTGATATGACCAAGAGCCAAACTTGAGGATGCATTTCTAACGAGAAATTTGGAATATATTATTGTTAAAGTTTGTCGGTCCAAAGGTCTGATATTTGTCCATAAGCTCATGAATGCATTAGCTTGCATTTTTTTTTTTTGCTTTCTTGGCATCGTTGTCCTTTTTAGGTTTCATGTGTCTGTTCAAATACAGACTAAGGATGAACATCAAAAGAAAAAACTAATCACAAGGTGCTAAGTACTGAGTTCACATCATGATAAGTCTTGGATGTACCTAGACAACCTAGGAGGTTCACCAAGCATCCAAGAAACTAGAGTCATTCAAACTCATCACCATATGCGGCTTCTCAATGAGAACAAAATTAAAGGCATTGATAACTCAATCGGGTTAGGCATATACCTACTCACCTGATCATCAAAGGGAAAATAAGTGACGTCAATAGTGCAGGAACTTTTAAATATTGTCGGATAGAACCAGCCTATGTTACCATTGGAATTTATTGTGAGACCATAATATTCCTCTTTTTCTTTGTCGTAATTGTCGTTTGCGCTATACACAGAATTGAAAAAAAAATAGTCGTTTCTGCAATCAATTGCCTTAATTCTCAACTTCCATAAATATATATAACTTGAGTGAGTGAGTTTGACAAATCTAAACGAAGTTACTCCCCGGTTGTTTTTAGATATTTTAGAAATACGTCAATATAAAAAATATGAGTGTGATTTCGGTCATCCATTAAGATATTCTAGGTAAAATTATAGCATGCTTGCTTTTTACTTGCATCGCGCTAACTTCGTTTCACGACCTGTAATCCTTGTTCGATACTAGACAACAATGCCATTGAGTAGAACGACCATCCTCTGAAAGGTAATTATCAAATAAAACAAACTGACAACACTCACTTGTTGTACAGGGTGATATCTGGAAGCCAGACTTTCTTTGAAGAAGTGACAAAAGACTTAATTCCTCCATACGTAGAGCTGTTCCACTTTAATCTGAAGTCGCTCCAATACTGAAGAGAAAATGATACAAAAAGGAAACTGGTACATGAGACTCCACACATTTTTAAGCCAGTGGTTCGTTTCCAATTTTCCAAACAATCTCAAGAAGAACACATATCTTACATATTTCACACAATAAATATAACCATCCTGTTTGTCCAGTGAAAAAACAAAGAAAAATTAGTGATGCGGTTGCCTTGCCTCAAAGTAACGTCATATCGCTAACGGTTTTAATAAGCTAGGTAAAATATTTTCTCAAATATCACAAAGTTTTCAAGACGAATCGTATTTCCGTTCCATAAGCGTAGTGACTTTTCTATGTCGTGGACTGTAATTTATTCGTACCAGTCTCACCCACACAATGGTAGTCATGGTTTGCAATCTTTCATCCTGTAAGATATCAGAACACAAAAAAAATCATTAATAGAAGAAGGAAAGAAAAATTATTTCCTCCCCTATGAATAATTCAATGTTTTAACAATCAAGACCTGATATTTTCATCCTGTGAAACGCTTTTAGGCAGTTAGAACATTTGTATTTGAACAGCGCAAAATT